CACATGAGAAGGGCTATATTTGGATAAATGACCAATGGGGTGAGGAGCTAATATTGAATAAATATCACATGAGAAGGGCTATATTTGGATAAATGACCCATGGGGTGAGGGGCTAATATTGGATAAATATCACATAAGAAGGGCTAATTTGGGATAAATGACCCATTGGGTGAGGGGCTAATATTGAATAAATATCACATAAGAAGGGCAAATTTTGGATAAATGACCTATGGGGTGAGGAGCTAATATTGAATAAATATCACATAAGAAGGGCTAATTTTGGATAAATGACCCATTGGGTGAGGGGCTAATATTGAATAAATATCACATGAGAAATGCAAATTTTGGATAAATGACCCATGGGGTGAGGAGCTAATATTGAATAAATATCACATGAGAAGGGCTAATTTTGGATAAATGACACATTGGGTGAGGGGCTAATATTGAATAAATATCACATGAGAAGGGCTAATTTTGGATAAATGATCCATGGCGTGAGGAGCTAATATTGAATAAATATCACATAAGAAGGGCTAATTTTGGATAAATGACCTATGGGGTGAGAGGCTAATATTGAATAAATATCACATGAGAAGGGCTAATTTTAGATAAATGACCCATGGGGTGAGGGGCTAATATTGAATAAATATCACATAAGAAGGGCTAATTTTGGATAAATGACCCATGGGGTGAGGAGCTAATATTGAATAAATATCACATGAGAAGGGCTAATTTTGGATAAATGACCCATTGGGTGAGGAGCTAATATTGAATAAATATCACATGAGAAGGGCTATATTTGGATAAATGACCTATTGGGTGAGGAGCTAATATTGAATAAATATCACATAAGAAGGGCTAATTTTAGATAAATGACCCATGGGGTGAGGGGCTAATATTGAATAAATATCACATAAGAAGGGTTAATTTTAGATAAATGACCCATGGGGTGAGGGGCTAATATTGAATAAATATCACATGAGAAGGGCTATATTTGGATAAATGACCTATGGGGTGAGGAGCTAATATTGAATAAATATCACATAAGAAGGGCTAATTTTAGATAAATGACCCATGGGGTGAGGGGCTAATATTGAATAAATATCACTTGAGAAGGGCTAATTTTAGATAAATGACCTATTGGGTGAGGAGCTAATATTGAATAAATATCACATGAGAAGGGCTAATTTTAGATAAATGACCCATTGGGTGAGGAGCTAATATTGAATAAATATCACATGAGAAGGGCTAATTTTGGATAAATGACCCATTGGGTGAGGGGCTAATATTGAATAAATATCACATGAGAAGGGCTATATTTGGATAAATGACCATGGGGTGAGGGGCTAATATTGAATAAATATCACATGAGAAGGGCTAATTTTGGATAAATGACCAATGGGGTGAGGGGCTAATATTGAATAAATATCACATGAGAAGGGCTAATTTTGGATAAATGACCAATGGGGTGAGGGGCTAATATTGAATAAATATCACATGAGAAGGGCTAATTTTGGATAAATGACCAATGGGATGTGTCAGACAAAGGTACAAGATAAATCCTTACCTCTGCTTTTACAGTTCTTGGATCCGAGAATAGAGTCTGAATTGCCACCTAGCAGGCGTTTTGAGGTTGATATCTTTTGCTAACAATGTCAATGCTTTATAATGTCTTTCATGAAATTGATATGCAAGGGTAAGATGTAACTGTTTCTTGTGAGGATCAATCTGCGCTTCTAAAATACAAAATATAATTAATGGGTCATAAGTCATAACAAAAATGGATTAGCTTCTGGTTGCTTGTGCGACAGTTCTAAGGCCAGACTTTTTTTATTCCTTGTTTCTCGAGTTCTTATAAGTAAATTAATTTTGAGGAGGGCGGAAAAAAAATAAAATTAATTCTTTTTTTCCATCAGATTTATGTGATTCTCAAAGAATTGTGAGTGAGATCATTGATCGGAGAGAAGAAAATTTTATTCCATGTATAACCTGGTTGGCAATTAATGAGGGATTCCTCGGTTTTTGATGACAGATTTACACGATGTGTCACCACAAACCATGCCGCCGTCAACCAACGCGCATAAAGTATATTTCTTGGCGAGACATCCGATCGGTACTTTGATCTTGGTACTCGTATGAAAATGCAACTTAGATTTGTTAGACAGCGGGCGAAAAAAAAAAGGAAAATAAAAATAATTTTTTTCAGCACTTTGTTGCACTCACAAGAAATTACGCTGAAATAATTTTTTTTTTTTTTTTCATTTTCGGGTCCTATTCATTCGGCGGGTTCACGAAACATGGGATAATAAAAGTCTGGTCTAAAGGCCGATCTGGAATGTTTTTTGGGTTGTTTCGAAACAAAAAAAAAGTCAAAGTAAGCTTAGAAAAAAACTCCTGTGTGCCAAGAGTATTGGAGACACATTAAAATTAATTCAAAACTTTAAAAGATGAGACTTCCAAAAGAAGAAGCTTAGCAACTAGTATTTGTCTGCTATTTGAAATGGACAACATGACAAATTTATAATACTTACAAATACATTTGATTTTTTATTCGTGATTTCTAGTCTAATTAATTCCAGAGCACCCCTGGGATGAATTCAATTTAAATCTGATTTTTTTACGTATCAGAAATAGACTAATAATAATTGGATAATCAACATGCATGTTTTTCAACATAAAACTAATCATGGCTGTGGATTACCCCAATGAACCAAATGAATTATTATGCAAATTAATCAATTATTATGCATACATTTAGGTCTGTGTATTGTTTCAGGGCACACATGTACCAAGTTTCATTATAATGTAAAGATTAATCATTAAAAAAATTGGTCAAAACCTAAATATGACAAATGATTATGCAAATTAGATATTTATTATAGATGTATACAAACCCAAAACTAATTAGATCATCGCATTGTCTTAGAGTATATATGTACCAAGATATATACTTAATATAAGATGATAAATACTTGAGATATAGATGGAAAAGCTGAAAAATGATTAATTATGCAAATTAGGTAATTAATATGCAAATATTATTAATCTAA